CTGCGGTGTGGTAGGTCCCATTCCAACCCAAAACCCCTTTACTCATCTTCACACATCTTCCCCCACACACATACATACACCAACCTTATGGAACTGTGAAGTGTGACTTATGTGGAGCTGAACAGTAGGACTCATTCCTGCAGTTAAGGGTTATTGTTGTACTGTGAACAAGTATGTGAAGTTGGATGAGGTTGAAGGGCAGTTTTACTTTCATCAATTGCATCAGAAAGGTTGTTTACTGTCTAAAGCAAAGCTGTGAGATAACTGTTGTTGTTGTAATGTGGCGTTATATAAATAAAATTTAATTGAATAAACCTGTGTGCAGGGTAAATTAGGGGAAAAAAGGATTTAGGGAAATTAAATAATTAGTAGTCAACCCATTTTTAACAAATCTGTGGTGATTATGACATATGTTCAACAACCCCAAAAAGTTAATGACACACTTGGTGATTAGAGTATTAGAATGTAAACTTTGCATTCTTACTCTTCCAGGCATGCCTGGAGTTTGCCTGCCACCTGATGCCAAAGTTACATACAAGGATGGCACAGATACTGGCGATGAAGAAATATTCAGTGACCCCATTAAAACAGGAAATGTTGTACACAAGGTTTAATGTCCCTAAGGTTGAGATGTAAAATCAAATTAAATCAAGCATCAAACAGATTTTACAAAAGGAGTTTATTGCTTTTTGTCTTCGCAGTTCTCTGATGGTCATCTGCTTCAAAGTTTGACCCAAGCTTCAGCTCAAATGCATCAACTTCGACACTGGCAGTGGCTGCCCAAATGGTAACAATATTTTTTCTGCACCTCTTAACTCTTTCACCCTGCTGGGACATATCTGGGAAATCTGAATATCTGTTCATTGCATTATAGGTTGAAGATGTCCTTCAAAGCAAGTCTGGTGGTGAAGAAGTTCTGCAGGAGTGTAAAACAACAGAAACCCAAGTGATGCCACAAGAAGACAGATGCTGAACATAGTGGTGGCTCACATGATTAATAAACACGGGTAGGTGTATTTTTACATATTTTATTCTATGTAAAAATGGACCACTTGTCACTAATCAGAAATGAGTAAAGTCCTTTATTTAAAATGGTCTTCTTTGCTAATACCTGTATGTTTTTGAAGCCCTCCTGCTCTGTGTGGCTTGCCTCTAGTTTACCTGGCGTCTCCAGTGCTCCAGCGTGTGTGGCAGTGGCGAGGGTCCGGTGGTGTCGTGCCACTCTGGTTTTCAAAATGCTAGTTGGTAAAACTGGGATAAAATCTTAGTGATTCACTATAAAATTATTTAAAGATGTTAAAATATGTTTCTGTTGACGTGTGAGGAGGGATGAGAATTTAATCTTAGGAATATAGACGGCTGTATGTGTGAAATGGGTTTTCACCGCACCTACAGGCTCTTCCAACTGTTAGGGTTAGGGATCGATCCCTATAATTCATTCATTCATACAGTGTAGGTGCTGCCGCCATCCTCTGGAGCAATGCTGTCCATGGTGCTGATAAGGGAGCGTCGCCGCTGTCCGTGGTGCTGATGAGGGAGCGTCGCCGCTGTCCGTGGTGCTGATAAGGGAGCGTCGCCGCTGTCCGTGGTGCTGATGAGGGAGCGTCGCTGCTCTCGTGGTGCTGGTGCAACCGCTGTGTTGTTGCTCTCCGCCTGCTCCTCTGTTCTGCCAGTTCCTCTGTCCTCTCCGGTACGGCACCGCAGTCCAGTGATGGTCCCCTTCCTCCATCATGTAAGTCAGTGTGTTAATAGTTTTTGTTTAGATAAAGGATGTTTAAAACTTTTGTGAAAAAGATAAGTCTTCCGAACTCGTGCTAAAATACTAATTTAGAGAACCCACAACATTTAAAAAAGAATACCATTTATTAAATGAATTAAACAAATTGAAATAGCGAGCCAAAACACAGCAACGTTTCGATCCCTCGACGGGATCTTCCTCAGGCGGATGGCTTCCTCACAGAAAATTGAAATTGCAGAGGAGATCCTTCTGTGGAGCCGCTCTCTCTGCATGTGGGGGGGGGGCAGTCTTCAGGATGCCAGGCTTAACTCCACGTAAGCAGCTGCTGGGACGGGGACCGGGTTTCTGCTTCCATCACCATCAGCGGGCTCCATGTCCCCAATCAGGGGATGCAGTCCGGGGGCCAGGGAGAGAGAGCGCCCCCCTCCAGGTCTGGACATGACAGTGAGGGAAGAAAAGAGGTAGGAGGAAAGGAATCGCTGGGTCAGAGTCACAGTAAAAGTGTCCTATTGGTCCATTGAGAGTGGTTGGGGGAAATAAAAAGGAGAAATAGGGCAAATGAAATCTAAAGGAGTAATTTAAAGCAAGGGTAACTCACCCTTCTTCAGCTGGAGGTGTGGCTCCTACCTGGGCAGCCTGTGAGGTGGGTCCATCAGTTTGGAGTTGAATTAGCAGAGGGGGGGTCAGGTCCTGACCTCCTTACATTCTTCATTTTCCAGGTGATGAAGGCTGTCCAGGTGGAGAGGACCTCCCCCCCAATGGATGAGGGGAGGGAGCTGCTGTTCCAGAGGAGTGATGGTGAACATGCAGGTAGGTATTTCATGCTCAGGAAGATGGTTATGGGTGTGTTGGTCCTGGTTCCTGTTAGTTAGGGGGGTTAGGTCACTTATCTCGAGGGTTCCCCCCTTAGTTGTCTGCACTTCGGTTTGGTGTGGGGAACCAACGGCAAAGGCACATGTCACCTTTGACATTCCACCCCCCCCCCCGCTGTGGACTAGAACTGTATCCAAACTGTTACCAACCTTCTGTGTGTCTGCAGCTGTTCTGGGGCTGAGCGGCGCTGTGGAGTTCGGGCGGCTGTGTGAAGGGAACCCCGACAACAGGAGGAAAGACATCCACGGGCAGGAACACTATGGAGCCAGCCGGTAAGAGTCCAACAGCTCAGCACAAGTCTGACCTTCACCTGAGTCCGAACTTGACATGACCTTAGACTGACCTTGAATTTTTTTTGCTTGACCTTGACATTACCTTGGTCTAACGTTGATATGACCTTGAAATGACCTTGATATTTTTTGTATGACCTTGACTTTTTTGTATGACCTTGGAATGACCTTTACTTTTTTATTTGACCTTTACTTTTTTGTTTCCCCTTGGAATGACCTTGACTTTTTTGTATGACCTTGAAATGACCTTGCCATTTTTTGTATGACTTTTTTGTATGACCTTGGGATGACCTTTACTTTTTTATTTGACCTTGACTTTTTTGTTTGCCCTTGGAATGACCTTGACTTTTTTGTATGCCCTTGAAATGACCTTGCCATTTTTTGTATGACCTTGACTTTTCTGTTTGACCTTGGAATGACCTTAACTTTTTTGTTTGACCTTGACATTTTTTTTTTTTTGTTTGACCTTGGAATGACCTTTACTGTTTTATTTGACCCTGACTTTTTTGTTTGACCTTGGAATGACCTTGACATTTTTGTTTGACCTTGACTTTTTTGTATGACCTTGAAATGACCTTGAGGTTTTGTATGACCTTGAAATGACCTT